TAAATTCAAATTACATATATATGTAAATTTAAATACATTTTCACCCTTGGAAGTGTTGTCTGATGAGCCATGAAAAATTATTTTTGTAAATAAATTATAAAATAATGGACCAGAAAGCTGTCTGTTTTCATTTAATTATATATATATATATATATATATTGCTTTAAATTTGTCATATTTATTGAAAAATATTGCCTAATATTATAGAGCATCGAATCAACTGCACACACACAAATATATATATATATATATATATATATATATAGTTAAATTCCCAGATGAATTCTGTGGACAAGACAGATTGGTATCAAATGACAATTGGAAAAAAAAATCATACATTTGCTGACGCGTTTCATTTTGCCTTGAAAAAAAGTCAGAAGATGAAAACGCGTGGCAAAATGTATGATTTTTTTCAATATCATTATTTGTCATTTATATATATATATATATATATATATATATATATATATATAAAATAAATAAATGCTAATGAGCCAGGTACTACCTATCTAGGTTTTTACCACATAGGATCATCAGGGTGTAGGGCTAAGGAGAAAATAACAAGGAACAAATTTATTGATAAAATTACGTCAAAAATCTAAAAACATTTTACTCACTTACAACTCACTGGGTTCAATTTCTTTTGCCCTGTTTGGATGTCTTTGGTTCTTTTTTTTTTTCCAAATTTTTCCTCAGATACCAGTTTGTTTAAAAATTGTGTTATCCAGGTTTTTTCACCCACTGAGTTTAAATAGATTTGCACTATATATATATATATATATATATATATATATATATATATATATATAAATAGATTTGCATTTATATATATATATATATATATATATATATATATATATATATTATATATATATATATATATATTTAAATAGATTTGCATTATATATATATATATATATATATATATTTAAATAGATTTGCATTATTTATATATATATATATATATATATATATATATATATTTAAAATATATATATATATTATAATATATCTATATTTAAATATTTGCATATATATATATATATATATATATATATATAAAATATATATTAAAATAGATTTGCATTTTTATATATATATATATATATATATATATATATATATATATATATATTAGCCAAATTACCTGTGCCTTTTTGCATGTCACAGACTTTTTTTTGGTAAGTAAATAATGATTGATTTTAAATCCTTGTTATAATTTATGGAGAAAAATGATGCATTTCAGTATTACTCAATGATCTTGATGACGTTACCTCCATCTTCTGGTTTTCTCCTTCTATATTTTGATAGGAGTCGTTCCCTTATTTAAATTTAATTTAAATCACAGAGAAAAAATTCTGTGCTGGGGTTTTGCGAAAACAGCCTGATCTGACTCCTTTGATATGTATTTGATGCAATAATTGACTGAATGAATTGCTCAGCAAATTTCAGCATTGATATGACAGTTTAATTGTTGCAACAAATATGTATTGTAAGGTACTCTCCACAGATTGGTGATTTCTTGCTCAACTTGATGTCCATATTGTCTCACTTTGATCTTGCCAATATGACCTTCATCTTCTGGCTTTCTCCTCCTGTATTTGGGATAGGAGTCATTCCCTAGTTCAAATTGAAAGCAAAGGAAATAAAATTTTTCAGTGAGTAGGGGTGCAAAAACAGCTTGATCTGATCCCTTTGATATGTATTTGATGTCGTGCTTGGTTGAATGAATTAGTGAGCAGATTTCATCAATGACATAACAGTTGAATTGTTGGGACAAATATTTAATTTTAGGTATTACCCACTGATTTCTTGCTCAAGTTATATTGTCTCATTTTGATCTTGCTGATATGACCTCTATCATCTGGTTCTCTTCTTCTATATTTTGGATAGGAATCATTCCCTTGTTCAAATTTAAATCAAAGGGGGAAAATATATGTGTGGTGGGCGTTGTCCCCCTTGGGGACTCCCTTTAATCAAAATGAAATATACTTATTCAAGTACCTTGTGTAATGTAGTTTCAGAATATATGTGGTTATGGGGGTCTAACTCCCAAATCCTAGGAAGAGTTTGATAACAAACAAACAGATAGAGGCTACAACTTTATATATATATATATATATATATAATCAACTCTCCTGTCAAGATTCGACGTATGAGGGTCAAGCAGATCAGTTTCCAGGAAACCGACAGCCCGACACCGGCACATGAGATTTGATTATAGTGGTGAAGGCTTCGTGCAGGACCATCCACACTTTTTGAAAGGACGAATACAGAGACCTGGTGCACCGAATGCCACAAGGTTCCCAAACGACACTCCACAGGTTTTGAATTCAGAGTTGTCCTTCTCCTAGACCAGTTGCCATCCAAGGCTATAGAACCCAGTCTGCCCTGCTATTTTACCCATAGCTGGAGGGAGAGGAAGAGGATTCATACCTTTCCCAAGGGTATTAGCACGTAAGTGAATGTAATGGATTCGACTGGAATTCGAACTCGGCTCTGCGATTCCTCAATCCAAGCCACTATCCATTACTCCACCGTGCCTCCTATACATATATAGATTAATAAATATACATATAATTCCTCAGCAGTAGCATAACTCAGAGTTTCAAAATGATCAAAAGAACAATCATTTTCTTTCTCTGGATAGTCATGATGCATGCCAAGATCAGAACCAAGAAGTATTGACACAATCTGTTTACTTGCAGTATGTGTGCTTTTAGAAAGACTTCCTTAATATCACAACCAGGGTTGGATTATATGTTAGGCTAGTATAGTCTGCAGCCTACGAACCCTCAAGCTTTTATAAAGCAATGATTTTAATTTTCTGCATTCTAAATAGTTTCATAAATTGAAATGATATCAATATAACAAACTATTTATTTGATTTGCCAAGAAAACAAAGCAAAACAAAGAAAAACATTTTCAATTTGTGTCATTATGTTTCAAGTAGTAAACATGTTTGATTTTAGTTCAGAATATTTGAATCTTACAAATTCTTATAAAGCAATGATTTTAATTTTCTAGATATTAACTTCTTAATAGTTTCATAAACTGAAATGATATCAATATAACAAACTCATATTTATTTGGATTGGTTTATTATTGTAAAGCTGGTTCTAAAAAATCTGTTTTTTTTTACTACAGCTTTGTTGAAGTATGTTGCTGTTTTGGTTTACAATAAACAGTAAAAAACGTGGTATTTCTTAAAGAATATTTTTATTGACAAACAAAAGATAGCTATTCTAGTTTATTCAAAGAATTTTCAAAAAGTTTACTTCAAGCTATGTAAATGTTGCAAAAATATATCACAAGTAAAAAATATTCAAGACAGGTGCGGGTGAGTTAGAGGATGGCTTTGTCTGAGGGTAAGAATGGGGGTCATAATTTCATTAGCCTAAGGGCTCCAAAAGGCCCTGACCACAACATTCATGTGAATATCTTAAGTGGTGTCATGAGAACTTCAGTGGGAAAATGAAATGGCACTCTTTACTGTTCCATACTGAAGATTGTATCTTTAATAGACACACCCCTACCAAGACTCAGATTCTTTGATAATATCTTATGAAATCTAAAAACTTACAAAAAGCATTGGATAATTTATGTCCAAATTCTTCCTGTAAAACAGAAAAATATTCCCAAACAGAAGAAAAATTAAATAAAAAATCATATTGTAACCCAGAACTAAGGAAACAGAAGTACAGTTTCAGCCATTGTTCAAACACGGAAGTACCATGTCAGCCATATTGTTATGTGTGAATAAAAAGCAGGAGTATTTCCTCTGCCAACAGAGAACTCACCAAACTAAAACTGTGCTGTTATTATTATTACAGACCCTTTACCAAGTTGTAACAAATCCTAAACAAAAAACTTTCATTAATCTTCAGCCATACTTAAATAAATATATATGTATAAATATTTTAAATCATTGCCAGTGTTCAAGCAAAAGTCAGAAATATAAATGCTGCTTTTGAAGGCAGCTAGGCCAGTTTAGTCCACTTGAATGACTGACATAACACAATTTTCCATTGTCCATTTCTTCACATTTGGACTCATCCAAGCTGAGTAAATATCTACTGTCACCTTAGAATTATTCATCACCTGACTTACCATGGCCTTTAGCAAATCAAGATGGTATTTGTAGATAGAGAAAGATTATAGAAAGTAAAAAACGACGTTGTAGAAGAGGATATTCTTTCTTGCCAGTTGTAGTGAGTTAAAGGAAGAATATATATTTGCACTTTTAATATCGTTTTGCATCGTAATTTAAGAGCCTTGAGCAAATCATTAGCAAGCTAAAATGGTGTTTGCAGAGAGAGAAAGAAAATAGTAAGAAGATTTAGCAGATAAGACTATCTTTTTGTTGCCTCTTGTAAATTGCGGGTTAAAGAAATATATATTTGCACTTTCAACACTATTTCATACAGTAATTTAGGAGCCTTGAGCAAGTCATTAGCATGGTAAAATGGAGTTTGCAGAGAGAGAACAGAGAAAGAAAATTTAGCAGACAAGATTATCTTTTTGTTGCCTCTTGTAAATTGTGAGTTGAAGAAATATATATTTGCAGTGTCAATACAATTTCATATGGTAATTTAGGAGCCTTGAGCAATGCATTTAAAAGACATATTTTGTTAGTTGAGTGCGTTTAATTGTTGAAATAGCAGCAAATTTTTATTGGTGTTTGAGCTGAAAAATTTTCCTTGTCTTTATTTTTCAATTTTAAAATGTTCCAAAGATTGATATTTTACAATTCTCTTAATACTTTTACTTTACATTCATGTACTTCTAAAATTTTCTATGTAAATTGGTTGGATATGGAAGCAGCATGAGTCTTCAGCCAGTCTTCAACAATTGCAGCAGACAAATTCTAAATTTTGAATATTAAAGAAAATTTACTTTTCTCAATTTCACCGGTGCTACATCATCTTCCAAATGGTGTCTGTTTCTTGTGAGAGTAATGGATGCTATGAATCCAAGAATATTTCATATATCAGGCTTACACCCACATCATGTTGAAACACTTATTCTTATATGATCACTGAAGTTAAGCAATGTCAAGCCTGGTCAGTATCTAGATGGGTGACTGCTTAGGAATACCAGGTGCTGTAAGCTTGGATGTGCAGGAGGTGTAATGGATAATGGTTTGGAATTGTTAATCGGAGAGCTGAGTTCCGATTCCAGTTGGGTTCATTATATTCATTTATATTCAAACAGCCTTGGGAAAACTATGGATCCACCTCTTCTCTTCTCTATGGGTTAATTAGTAAAACTTGTATCACTAAATAATTATTATCAAAAAAAATTCTTACAATCCAAAAATATTTTCTGGCTTTAAATAAAATGTAAAGGGTTGTTAAACTGTAAAAAACAAATCAATTCACATATATGTAGCTTGAAGAGAAAATAATGACATAATCAAGATGTTGACATTCCACATTACTTCAAATAAAAGGTTAGGAAGGAAAACTATATCATTACTGGAAAGAGTGATAACAGCTACTTGACTTAAGAAACCTATTTTCTTGAAAAATTGTTTTAAGATAAAGATTTTATAAATTTCAACCAAAAGTAGTACTGTTGTTCATGATGACGGTCATCTTTGAGTATAGAATCCAGAGGTTAGCAGTGAATATTTTGAAGACAGTAGGAAAGCGTTTTTCAGGTTAGCTGTGGATATTTCAATAACAGTAGCAGAGCATAGTTCGTCCTGGTTCTCTTCGCCTGACAAGCTGGAACTGGACATTTGGGTAGAGTAGACAAAATGTCCGCCTTTATACATGACGGATTGAATATTCTATGTCTTCTGATTGGTTAACCTTCTATTGATGGACTATAAAGTGAGTCAAGTCATTTGGGCTAACTCACTAGTACATAATGTATCCAAAAATTGTAACAAGTACTGGCTGCTTGGTCAATGAATGCCAAAATGTTTTCTTATTGGCTAACACCAAATATTACTTTTGGGAGGTTGTTCTGTGATGCATCAGTCTTGTCTGAATGTACTTCCTTTTTCATATATATATATAATTTTTTTTTTTGGAGGGGGTGGTCAAAAAGATATCATCAGCCCTACAACAGAAATATATAAATTATAAACCAATCATTTTCAAAATACAACACAATAAGCAAAAAAAAATGGTATAATGGTTTATCATACATTTCAGAGCACATATATTTTGAAGTACATATATGTATACAGAGATAAAATGTATCTGTTTGGGTAACAACAGGTGCTATCGGAGTGCTGTCCATGAACATCTACTTTGTTTGGTCGTCAAAGGTGAACAGAGAGAAAATTTGATTCCTGTATTAATTGGTGGCAAAATACCTGTTCAGTGCATGATGGGAGTTTTCATATTTATTTAACTATTTTTTTTATAATCTATCTTTTTTCTTTATTTATTGTTAATTATCATTCTTACATATATTTTAAAGTAATTTTATTACTTAACTTTTAATTTTTTTTCTTATAATTTATTATTTTGTTTTCATACTTCTATATAGTCTTGTACTAAATGTTAGAGGTTATTTAAGGATTTATTTATTGCTATCACTACTCTATGGTGAGGATTTACTTTTTGATTTTATTGTAAATATTCTCTTCAGACCAAACTATTCTTTTTTTTTACTTTTTTTGTTCTCTCTCTAGATACAAATTATCAAAAGTTATCTATTCATTGTTCAGGGGAATATGAGGTCAGTCAATATTTTATGCTCTTTTCCTCAGATTCATTTAAAAAAAAAAAGGTAAAAAATTCACACAGCCATTTTGATAGTACTTTGGTTCCAGGATCTCCCCACATTTTTTTTTCAGCCTCTATTCTCCCCCTTTCCTTTTGAAGCAACATTGAGAATAAGCAGTGAGTATACCTGTCTAGACCTTATGTCCAAACAATTATTAAATATCTTTCCTAAACACAGGACTACAGCAACCAGAATCTGTTTTAAACACACAGGTTTTTGGCTAAGATTCTATTGATCTTTAAAAAGGATGGTTTCTAGGCCACTTCCTTGTTTTCTATGGAGTAAAATCATTTCAACAAAAATCTTTTATCTTCAAAATTATATTTTCTTTGACCTATAGTAGTAACATTCTCTTTCCATAATACTTTTAGTTTGTATAAATTAAGAATACTTAATACATTCCTTAAGAAACCGTCCAGGTATACTTTAGCATAGAAAATAGAGTTTATCTATATGCATAGAAAGTGCAACTGACTCTGAAAAACTCCAGCGAAATGGAAAATCTTGATTAAATATTCATATTTTGAGTTACCTAGTACATGTTGTATCTCATTAGACATTAAAAAGAAAATCTTGATTAAATATTCATCTGTTGAGTTACCTGGTATATGTCGTATCTCATTCGACATTAAAAAGAAAATCTTGATTAAATATTCATCTGTTGAGTTACCTGGTATATGTCGTATCTCATTCAACATTAAAAAGAAAATCTTGATCAAATATTCATCCAAGTTACCTGGTATATGTCGTATCTCATTAGACATTAAAAAGAAAATCTTGATTAAATATTCATCCAAGTTATCTGGTATATGTCGTATGTCATTAGACATTAAAAAGAAAATCTTGATTAAATATTCATCCAAGTTATATGTCGTATCTCATTAGACATTAAAAAGATCTCTAATAAAAATAACTCAATCAGCAAGTAATGAAATTTAATTTATGTCAAATTAACAAAGTTTTTTTCTTTGAAATATATAATGGTTCAGAAAAAAATTTGTATTGCGTATTTTTTTAAGTGAATTTCAAAGACAATATTTCGGTATTCATGCATATTCAACCATATATGTACCAATTTATTTCATTAACTTTCAAAATCTTTAAGGGAACTTCATGTCTCCAGCCTTCCAGAACTAGTCATTTTCTGGGTGATGAACTGGTGTCATTGATTTTTACAAACTTTCAAATAATTGAATTTCTTTCCATTTAGTGTGTGTAGGGAGGGTGAGGTTGGTGTAAAGGATAGCAGCTCAGAATAAGAAAATGGATAACCAAGTTTGAAATAAAGTTGTGTTTGTTATATTCACTTATATACATATATCCTTGGGAAAGGTTAGTTACCATTCCTCCACCCAGCTATTGTTTAAATAGTAGGACTTGTATCTGGACAAATCATTATTATTCTCCAAAAATATAAATGCAAAATTAACTCAAAAGAAAATAATTATTTATATAATCCAAGATATGAATAAAGACAAAAGGAAAACATTTTTTTACCAAGATGTCTCGTCCTCTGATGGACATTGTTAAAGCAAATCTAAGAATTTTATTTTGCAAAAAGTATTTATAAACAGAAGCAAAAACATTGTTAGGTTTTCAAAATATTACATTTAAAAACATTCATAAATATTCTTCAGGCTAACTTTAAAAGTCAAGATAAACTAAGATGCTAAGCAATATAATTTAATGCCTAATAAACAAAAGTGAGTAAATGTTCTTATTGTTAATGTTGATTTTTTTTTAATAATCATAATGTCATTATTATTTTAATTTGATAAATTATATATGTATTTATTTGTTTTAAATAATGGAAGGATTTGAATTTAACAATTTTCTTTTAAATTTTAAACATTTTATGGCATGTTGGCTTGTGAAAAAAGTATATCTTTTAGGAAAGGAGATATTTGAAAAAATTCAGGTTGTAGATTTACCTTTTGGCAAGATTCAATAGCAGTGAGAATTTTCTGTAAAAGTAAGTTACTTTTTCTTTTAATAAGTCTGACATCTGGTGGTGTCCAGATGGAAGATTACACTTTCTGATTTGTGAATGCTTTTCATCAATTTCTGCCTTCAATTTGTCCAGTTGTCTTGTAATGCACTATGTCTTTTTAATCCCACAAGATACACAGCATCACTTTCTTTGGATGTAGACTAGCTTTTGTATTGGATAACATTAGCTTGTTTTATTTTCTCCAGGACCTTTTTCATTTCATATTGTTGTAAACAATTAACTTTTCACTGCCTGTGATTGTTCCTTTCAGAAATTGGTGACTTTTATTTATTGGATATTAGAAACACAGACAAATATTATTTCCCTGAATTTTTTCTGTTAAATTCTGAGTCATACAAATATTGTAGCTATTCCCATATGTTTTCAAATGCTATAAAATTCTCTTATGAGATATATGAAGTAACTCTGCAATGTTCTGCAACATGTGATGAGGATTACTTATAATCAGCATTTTGATTGACAAAGAAAAGAAGAAATATGTCAGTACTTAGACAAACCACTCTCCCATAACAATTTATCTGATGAAGAACTAACAGGAACAGGCTTTAACACACCTTGTCTACCTTTTCTCTTTCTTGTTATGTATGAGAGGCTGGATGAACATGTTCTAGTAGGCACTCATTAAGGCTAGATATGTCTAACACAGAGCCATAAGCCTTGTGCTACCAAGCAAGGACCCTAATATTGTACTTTCATTCATCTATAAAGCAGTTGATCTGTTATTTAAATTTAAGCAGGTCAAAAACAAAACCACTGTCATCAGTTCCATTGAGATCATTGAACTCCTAATATTAGCAATTTGATTTTCATAAATTTGATAACTACTATTGTGTTATTGAAGATATACTAATCTTCTATGTAGTGTGTTCCTTTATGTTCCTATGATCAGGACTCTCCGCAACTTCCTATCCTGTTTAGTTAATTTAATTTTTATTATAATTAAAATTTTATTTTTATAATTTCTTTTTGTATGGGGATTCACTATTTGCCCAAAGCTGGGACCCTAACAGGTACTACAACTCCAGATCAAGGTGGATCTGTGAACAACACTAATTAACAGGTGGTTCCATGCTCTTCAAAATTTCCCTGATCAGAGGCCTTGTTGCCCAAACTGAAAGAGGTACTTAGAGCAACAAAAGTTGTAGTGCTATGATTTGTCCATGTCTTTAAGGAATCTAACAATAAAAGTTTTTTTTTTTATTTAAATTTTTTTATTGTTAATCCATGTATTTAAAAAAAAAAATACATATTTTATTTCATTTTTTGTTTGAAATTTCAAACTTATGTACATTTTGGTCTTGATATATGTCCTTTGATGAGTAGTAACAATAAGGTTAACTACCATTCGTACAGAA